ACTAACCCATAGAAATCCGAACTTAATCAAAACCCTAACCCAAAATGGGTTAGTTCATAACTAAATCAAAATACACAGCAAGAAAAACAATAAACACAATGTTCAACATATTGAATTGCAGAGAAAAGGGTAGAGATCTCCCCTAGTTGAAGAATCCCCCAGATTCAAGCTCAAATCCTCTCTCTAAATATCAATTCTCTTCAAAACTCAATGAGAACAGACGAAAACTGGATGACCCGGACGACCCTCTACGAAAATGGTAAATTTTTTCTTTTATACCTCGCCCAAAGACCTAAAACTTTCCTCAAATAAAACTGTACGTTTTGGAGAAACTAAAATTCATAGACTTCGCCACGGCGAAGAAAGAGTTTCGCTGCGGTGACGAGGTAAAATAGAATCTCGTGCTTAACAGTTTTCGCCGCGGTGGAGTCTATGGCGAACCTTCATGAAGAATTCTGAAATTACATAATTGCCCTCTGCTTGCTTCTTTGCTTGAATCTTCGATCTTCGATGCTCTCCCATGGGAACAAGCTTCATAGTGCTTCACTCTGCTTCAGAACTCTCCCAACTTCTGAGATCCGCTTACTCTGGGTCCAGAAACTCCAATTTGCTCATTATTTGCTCAAAATGTCCATTTTGGCCTGAAACACAAAATGTAAAGAATTAAGTAGCAATTCAGGCAAAAATGAACTAAGAAGTATCTACAATCCGGCCAAAAAGCCTAATAAAAACAGTATAATTCTCGGATTATCATACACCATGAGCCCAAGAGATAAGGTTATCTCATGACTCAACATGGTGACATACTAGTCTACCAAGACGATGGACCCAGACCCTACGAAGACGCTATATTGGATCCAGATTCCGTTAAATGGCTTGAAGCCATGAAATCTGAGATGGAGTCTATGTACCAGAACCAAGTGTGGTCTCTGGTGGAACCACCTAAAGGGTTAAAACCCATAGGGTGTAAATGGGCCTTCAAGAAGAAGACTAACATGGATGGCAAGGTGCATACTTATAAAGCACGACTGGTTGCCAAAGGTTTCAAACAAATTCATGGCATTGACTATGAAGAAACCTTTTCACCGGTTGCCATGATTAAATCCATCTAGATTATGCTTACGATTGCCGCATATCATGACTATAAGATTTGGAAAATGGATGTCAAAACAGCTTTCCTGAACGGAAACCTTAAGGAGGATGTGTATATGACACAACCTGATGGTTTTGTTCTTAATGGGCAAGCTGATAGGGTATGCAAGTTGCAGAGATCCATATATGGACTCAAGCAAGCTTCAAGGAGCTGGAACATTTGTTTTGACGAAGCTGTAAAAGAATTCGGTTTTATCAAGAACGAAGATGAGCCCTATTTTTACAAGAATGTGAGTGGGAGCGCAGTAGTATTCCTAGTGCTATATGTCGATGACATACTTCTGATTAGGAATGATATACCGAATTTGCAGTCGGTAAAGACTTGGTTATCCAAGTGCTTCTCCATGAAGGAATTAGGGGAAGCAGCCTACATCCTTGGAATAAAGATCTATCATGATAGATCGCGTAGGTTGCTTGGCCTAAGTCAGAGTGCATATATTGACAAAGTACTGAAACGATTCAGTATGGAAGAATCCAAGAAAGGATTTCTTCCGATGTCACATGGTGTTTATCTCTCTAAGGAATTGTGTCCTAAAACACAAGATGAGAGAGATAGGATGAAGAGGATCCCATATGCATCAGCAATTGGATCCATCATGTATGCCATGCTATGTACTCGGATTGATGTCTCATGTGCTTTGAGCACTTGTAGTAGATATCAATCAGATCCAGGTGAGCGTCTCTGGATGGCTATCAAGAATATTCTTAAGTACCTGAAGAGGACTAAGGATATGTTCTTGGTTTATGGAGGGGAAGATGAGCTCACTATAAGAGGATACAGTGATGTTAGTTTCCAAACGGACAAAGATGATTATCAATCGCAATCAAGATTTGTATTTTGTCTCAATGGCAGTGTAGTGAGCTGGAAGAGCTCCAAGCAAAGCACTGTAGCAGACTCCACAATGGAGGCTGAGTATATTGCATTGTCAAATGCGGCTAAGGTGGCAGTTTGGATTAAGAAGTTCATTACTGAACTTGGTGTGGTTCCCATGATTGTTGATCCTATAGACATCTATTGTGACAACAATGGAGCAATTGCTCAAGCTAGGGAACCACGGTCTCATCAAAAGTCTAGACACATACTCAGACGATTCCATCTCATCAGAGAGACAGTTGAGAGGAAAGACGTGTAGATTAGTAAAGTGCATACTGACGACAATCTCGTAGATCCACTGACGAAGCCTCTGTCGCAGCAGAAGCATGAAAGGCACTTGAGATCATTTGGTATTAAATACATGAATGATTGGCTATAGTGCAAGTGGGAGCTTGTTAGAGTAGATGCCCTAGAGCCAATCAATTACTGTAGAATTGACTCTTTGTAATAATGTTCATTAATCAATAATAAAAGGCATTTTATTACATATTGCGTAAATCATTATTATTGCAATATGTATTGATATATGTCCTTAGAATGGTAGAACCGTGATGAGGGTATCAAGTGTTTCAAATCTTGATAGTGAGAACCCTATGAGCACATATGGTGGCCATTCTAGAAACGTCCGTAGCCCCAGTATTATTTTGAAGCAAGGGGACATATAATACGGTAAGGCTATCATAGTGTTGAACGACCCTGTTGAAAGGTAGTGACTAATCTCACTTGTCAAGGTTGTTTGGTGACAACCTGGTGCAACACATGGGTGCTTACTGTAGGCGAACACACCGCAGCAAGTTCACTGGACTGACCCACCAGAGGATTCCATATGGATGGTAACCCCAGTGTCTATGGAACAAATCCTCTAACGAATGGTGGTGCATGTGATCCTTAGACTTGAGATCAACCGAGCGCCTTGTGCACCGATTGGTGCAGTTTACACTAGCCTAACGCAGTTTCTATTCAATGTCAGTACGTAGTGATTGGCTATATCAAGGAGGGTATCAAGACTATGGTGGATAACAGAAGATTTATCACTCCCGTACGAGAAGTTACTTCACGGCGCAATTCAGTATATGTCAATGACACTAAAACTGTGGCCACAGTGGGATTGAGTTGTGCTCTATCCAGTTTATAATACAGGTTTTGGTCCAGAAACTGAATACTAAATCGAGAGTAACCGATGTTACACTATTTCTATGCCTTCGTCTCTTGAGATAACGTATGATGAAGTATCGAATTGTACGGTAACCATATCGTTGACAGGTAGCTACTTTGCTGAATCCAAATCTATCAGTGGCCATAATGCCTTGCTAGGCCAATCTTGGTCTGTGTATTAGTGAGACGATTAATTGGTGTTAATCGCGATACTATACACTACCAGTATGATGAGGAGCCTATGGGTCACACACATAGAAGATAATTTAAACTCAAGAAGAAGAATGGCGTTTTCGTCTTTTTGGGCGAAAGGGTATTTTGGTAATTTCATAGTGCAATTAAATTCGCTGAGGTCGAGCCTTTTATTTAATTTGTTAAAGAATTAATATGAAATTACATTTAAATATGTGTTAGCATATATTAAATAATTATCATTATTGTTAAATGTTTAAATATATATATATATATATATATATATATATATTATATATTATATATATATTATAATATATAATATATATTAAGTATATATATTAAATATATATATTAATGGATTTTAATTGGGATAATGATGAATTAAAATAAATATCTAATTGGGAGTGTTTGGAAACATAGGGTGTTGGGGTTAGAGCCCAAGCCTATTCCATATGGGAATAGGGCAATTAAATTTTACTATAAAAGAAAACAATAAAGCTACGGACATCGAAAATTTTGCATCGAAAATGTGTGCCAACCTACGTGTATCCCTGACTCACACCACGCCTGATTTTTTTATAATTATTTTTCTAGTGAACGCCCGTCCATGGCATATGGACGACCGTTCACTCACATGGACTCCCGTCCATATTATATGGACAGGGGTCCATATACCATGGACGGGCGCCCCCATTTAAAGGACGCCCGTCCATAATTAAAATACAATAAAAAAATTTTATAAACATTAGGGACGGTCGTTCATCCGTTATGGACGGCCATCCCTTTATTTTGGACGGGCGCCCGCAAATAAGGGACGCCGGTCCTTAACCAAAATATGAAAATAAAAAAAAAAAAACTTTGGGGACTGCCGTCCATAAATTTTTGACGGCCATCCCTTACGTTTGGACTGGCGTCCATTAGGAATGGACGCCAGTCCCTTACGTTTGGACGGGCGTCCATTCCTACTTTTAAAAAAAACAAAAAATTCTAAACCTCTTATTCTTCGCTCTTCTTCTTCGTCTTCATTCCCCATCTCTCTTTTTCTTCGTCTTCATTCCCCATCTCCTCTCTTCTTCTTGTCTAGTGTTATTAAGATGTTATAGATGTATGTATAAATCTTTAACCAAAAAAAAAATTAAAACCTCGTTCTGGGTACACTACACAGCAAAGTATCGAATTTGAAGAGAATAAAGTGAAGAGAGTAGCAAACTAATGAGACCTCTTGATAGTTTCTTTTAGTTTTTACCCCAAGTTCAACGCCAAACGCTAAAGGAAAAGGAACCCAATACAAATACAAAGCTTTGAGTTGAGCCTAAACATATTGAATGGACAATAAAAATGAAAACTTTCGTTTACTTAATATTACTATTTCTTACCCACCCACACCCAACTCTGGATCCATGGGAAATGGAGTAAACACTAAAAAGCGATCGAGAAAGGAAAAGAAAAGGTTTTTGCTTCTCAAAATTCGCCATTTTTATACGTGCTCTTTATGGAAAAACAAGGAGCAAGAAGTGTTTTGCTGAAGAGAAGGCGACATGGAAAAACAAGGAGCAGGAAGTCTTGGCAGACTGTTCGTTCTTTCTTGAAGATGAAGACGTAGCAGTGGCTGCTGTAACGGCTTCTATGGCAGCAGCCACTGAAACAGCAGTGTGGAGCTGCGCATTCTGGGCTCTGCTTTCTTCTTTCTTCTTCTCCTGAAACGCGCTGTTGTTTCAGTGGCTGCAGAGCCCATAGAAAGGGCTATGGCAGACAATTGGAAGCTATTGTTATTTCTATTATAAGAAGCCACGCCCTCTTGTTCCTTAAACCCATCTTCACAAGTGGTTGAAGCATCCATGACTGAACTTATTTCAAAATTAGTATCCTCATAGTGCTTAGATTTGTAGTCTTTGATGGCCTGTTGGAGAATTGAAATAACGTCTGAGTAAATTTCATAACAATCAGTCAAGCATGAGCTCATGAATGGATCCAACTTTTTGTTCTTCAAGAGGTCATTAATATATGACCTTGTGTTTGCGACGTTGCGTCGAGTTAAGTTGATTGAGACCATACCCAGTTGGCGAAGATTTGCACAGTGGCTACTTGGAACTGCTTCAAGAGAAGTTACACAGAAGCTGTAGTTTAGGTTAAGGTCATTTTGTGTACATTTTTTGCAAGTTTGATGGACCAAGTCGTGGGCAGTTATTAGATGATCAGAGAAGAAGAAGAAGAAGAGAAGCGAAAGTGGAGAAGTTGAGCAATTATTACATAAGGGACGGCCGTCCCTTAAGTGTGGACTGCCGTCCATACATAATGGACGGGCGTCCATTAGTTAGTGAAGACCGTCCAAACAAAAGGGATGCCCGTCCACAATTTATGGACGGGCGTCCAAATTTTTTATTTTATTTTTTAAACCAAAATAAGTTTGGACGGGCGTACATTCCTTACGGATGCCCGTCCAAACTTAATGGACGAGCGTCCCTTATTTGTGGGTGCCCGTCCAAAAGTAATGGATGGCCGTCCCTAATTTTTATAAAAATATTTTATTGTATTTTACTTATGGACGGGCGTCGTTTAAATGGGGACGCCCGTCTGTCGTATATGGACCCCCGTCCATATAATATGGATGGGCGTCTATGTGAGTGAATGGCCGTCCATATTTGATGGACGGCCGTTCATTAGAAAAATAATTATAAAAAAATCAGGCATGGTGTGAGTTAGGGATACACGTAGGCCGGTACACATTTTCGGTGAAAAATTTTCGGTGTCCGTAGCTTTATTGAAAAGAAAAAGGTTTCTTTGTAAAAGTAAGAGTTTTTCATTACACTCATTTTTCATTGAAAAAGAAAAACACACAGCCCCTTATTTACTCTCGCATGCCAGAATTGATTTTTGCCTAAAATCAATTTCTCTTCATTTCTTCTTTGTTCTTAAGGCTAAAGAGGGATCTAGCAAATCCCTCCTTAGTTCCTTGCGATTGTCTTCGTGTGAACTACGTCGGTTCGACCCTACACTTGGGTCGGTAGCAAAATACATTCAGAGACAAATTTGGAGGAGCCTCCAAACGTGCGTATGGTTTCTTAAACTCTAGATTAATTTTCTACAGATTCTTATTGCGATATAAACTGTAAAAATTGTACCCTGATCTTGGTTCTATGGAACGATCCTTGTTATTAATGTTTTGTTTTCCACTACCTCAATGGATCGTTTCCTAACAGAAAACCCATTCATGGATCATCATCAAACTCAATAACGAGTTTCATACACAAATCTCAAGCATATGGACTTCATATAAAATTCACATAAAACAATCTTTATGCTTTACTTGCACAAAAGTTCTCTATCCTTGTTGGACTTGTTCTTCCTCTTAAACCCTAAGCATAAACTTAATAAAAATTCAACATTAACACAACTTAATCTTATGTCTAGAACAAGAATCCTTACCTCTTGATGCTTTGGATCAAATCCTTATAAGAATCCAACCAAAAGCCCTCAACTTCCTTTAGCAAATGGATGAAGAGATGAGAGAAATGGAGAGTGAAGTTGGCGTGAGAGGGAGTAGAGAATGATAGAGTCTTTGTGCTTGAAACCTTAATATCTCATATTATAGGCATACTTTCCCATTTTGCCCTTACACTTTATTGGAAATTCCATCTTTGTCCCTTAGTCATTTACACTAATGCCCTTACCTTTATTACATTCTCCATCAAATTTCCTTATTTTTCACTCCCCACATTTTCAACTAATTAAAGGTAGAATGGTCATTTTGCCCCTAAGGAAGATTTCTCTAGAGTTTTCTCATGGTTCTTCGCCTCGGTGAAAAAATCCAGAGAGTTCTTCGCCTCAGCGAAGTTCTGACACCAATTTGGGAAAACGTTCATTACCGCGGTGACAAGATTCCTTTACCACGACGAATTTTGCAAATGTCGATTTTTCAATCTTTCTCTTTGAAATAAGCAAAACTAAGGGCATAAAAGCAACAATAACACATATCCATTTAACTTAGGCCAACATACAACATTAAAAGGCAAATAAACTTGAGTAAACGCTGGCTTGAGAGCAGACGAAGCCTAAGTAAGGAATTTACCTCTGCCTCTGGGATTGGAACTACTTCTTATCTCTTTCCCTTTCCCTTGACCTTCCTTCTTTGTTTTGACCTAGCAGAGCAGATTCCCTCACTTGCACTAGTTCTGACTTATCTTGTCTTAGTTCACTCTACCTTTTTTCTGGACTCTCGTTCTTATCTAAGAGTCAAATCGATGCCTTGAACCGGTTTAACTAATGGTAGGCCTCGCCCTTTGCTTACTCTATTTAATAGAATGTCGCTTATGCCTATTCCTCAAACAAAGACGATCACGCCCATCTCTTCAGAAAGAAAGCCCTTCTGCTTCCCTTGCTTGGCTTGGGCACTATTCAAAGCAGAGAGAAAAGAATATTCTAATCGGCTACGCTCCTCATCTCGACATTGAAAGAAAAGTAAAAGCCGAGTGGCAGAGACTCGAACTACCTCCTTACTTATTCCTGACCTTTAGAGCTAAAGTCTGCCCTACTGATTGTTATACCGCCCGTGCCCTAATGAAAACAAGGAGAAGTAGGTTTAGTTATGCCCATCTCAGTCAAAAGGAAAGTCGTTGATGCCCTTGCTTCTGCTTCTTAGCACGTAGTGGGAAGAGGCTGTTTCAACTCATTCCGATATGAGTCAAGTAGCTAAGACCGACTATTTGTTCACATGAAAGCAGGAGTCAACCATGTTGGAGCTATTTGAATTCTTACTTCTTCTATAGCCTTCGTGGCCCTATAGCCAATGGCTTACCAAACTAGACTAGCATGATCAAAATCTCTTTCATTTATTGATTGATATCCTCGTAAGCTTTCTTTACTTATTTTTTTATACTCTTAGTGACCTTAAATTAACCCCAAAAAAGCGAGCATAGCGGATTCAAAGATTAGCTGCTTAGGGAAAGCCCTTCCCTTCCTTTGTAGTAGTGCACTCAAATCGACGACAGTTGTTTAGATTGGGACATAGCCGTTATATTAGATCCAGGGACTGGAAGATCCGATCTTTCCTATGCTATGAAGGTGGAAATGATTAGCCAAGCCAAGGAAAGCATTGGATGAAAGGAAACCCTACTTTTGATGCGAAAGAAAGTCATGCTAAGTTAATGCAACTAAGCCCATTCTTTCAAGGGAATCGTTTAAAGAGAAAAGAACAGTGGCAACAAGAGAAGAGATTCTTTCTAGTCCTACCCCTATTCCAAAAAGACTTGCACACGAGTGAATTCTTCTTCTTTATGCAATGGCAAAGGCAACTTCACTTTATGTTGATTTACCACAAAGTCACTCACTTCCTTAGCCTTAACCCCATCAGTTCCTTCGTCTTCCGCCTTTGTTTGGGCTTAGTTACGGCCATTTTCGTTTGAACAAGAGTGGATCTCCCCTGGTATTCTCCGAGAGCTTAGACACCATAGGTCTTACGTAGATAAAGAATTCACAATAACTAGTCCTTCTTACTTCATGCTTACTAAGGCTGTAATGACATCGAATTGGCGGTTACCTTGAATAGGAATTATAACAAATCTCTGGTTGGCGATTAGTGTCTTTTTTGAGTTAAATGATTTAGGAGTGAAAACAACTTATTCTAAGATTCTCCTATCTCGCTCAGTTGAAGAGGAAGACGTAACTTTACTACTAATCAGCTCCTTCCCCAAGGTTTTAGAACAACAAAGCAGACATGCACACGAAAAGACTTGCAACAGTAAGGTAAGGCTTTACTTTCCCTGCTACGTACGAGACTGGGCTGACCGCTTAGACGAGAACATAAAAAAGGGGAGATTCAAACCCATTCTCGATTGCCTTTGATTCTCATTGGAATTGGACCTCCCCGGCTAGGCTACTACGTTTTCTTGTTTGAAATTCCAGGTCTGGTCCTCATTGGTATTTGCTTTTTGCTTATCCATTACGTTTTCTTCTTTTTAGTTTTTCTCCCGCCTGGTTGAGCTGTCTGAGGTCGATGATGCATCCGGTAAGCTCTTTCGGTATTCATCTCCAGAGCCCGGTCAGATACTTCAGTCCTTCATTCATATTCCGTCTCAATATCTTCTTTCTTTTTATGTTTATATTGCGGCTCGAATGTTTTACTTTTCTTCCCCTTCCCTTGTTTCCAGCTTGGGAATGAGAGTGAGGATCTTGGAATTGAAGGAAGTCCCCTGAGATAAAGAAGTAAGCAAGAGAGGCAATCCTAGAGTATTTCCCCAATTCCTAAACAATCTCTATATTATTTCCACAGGTTGCATCATCATCTATGTCACTAGATTTATTGGACTTTGGAAGCTTACATTATGTATGGTAATTAAAGGTTAATTAATCTTAAAGCTTCATAAAGAAAGTGTGTGTTTAGATTAATTTATAAGGAGCATAAATTATTCTACTTTTGGATTTAATACTAGGAATTTATAATTAGTAGTACTAAGACAGAATCTAATTAAGAATTCATTAATGAGAACATGTTGTCAATGCAAAGAGGATCTAAATGTTGAAGAAAATAGAATGAGCCATCCAGAGATGATCAGCTGACTCAAACATTCAAACAGAGTTGACGTGTCTTGTAATATGTCTCTCTAACACAACCTGGGTCCTATGTGTTGACACCTATTATTCAGGATCTACAACTCATAGAAGAGGACAAATTCTGTTATCGCATAACTTATGAGTTTGAGATTTAGCTTGATCCTTAAATAATGTTTTTGTGTTTAGAACCATTAACTTATGTCCTAGGATTATAGCTATTGGATTATGTCCTAGGTTTGTATATATTTGCCGCGTCTTAATGGAAATATTGAGTGTTCATGTTGCTCTCATTCACTCTATTGTTCTTCGATTTTTAGCCTTTTTATCTGGTAATACTTTGTTTTTGAAACTTGAGCTAGGAGATAAAAATCTCGAACTAATAACTAACAGAGAAAGTTTCTTGTAGTTCACTAGTCTAGACAATTGCCACAACCGGCTTCATCAAATTAACAAGTAATTGCAGATGTAGGCAGTTGTATTCACATCGAGGAGGCAATTTTGTTCACACTCAAGTCTCTGGCCTCCAGTGGGTGCGTAGCCCAAGAATTAATCAAAATTAAGATGCAAGACAATATATAGAGTTGAAGAAGCTCAATCCAAAGAGCGTAAATCTTATTGGTTCGCGTCTTGTGGTGGTACCCAGAATGGTAGTTAACTTCATCTCTGCTTTATTATTTATTTACTTTTATGAATAGTGTAGGGATGATACTGAGGACTTGGAGGACAAAAAGATTGTGCATCTTTAAAGTTCTTGTGGAAAAATTTGCGATGTGGCTTGACTTAAAATAAGTCAAGCAATTAATTTACCTTTACATAGTAGTGGAGGATTTTTTTTGGGGTAAAATGGTAGTGGAGGATTAAGATAAAGATATATACGAGTATTAGATTAAGACACTAGCTTGTTCACATATTCTAAAATTGACAAGTAATTAGATATTTTGATGAAATCCAGGTAAAATTACAAGTTGGCTTTTCAAATGATATTAATTCCCATATCATTTTAATGCATAATTCATATTACCGGTCATTAGATGTAATTAACATACATACATAGGCATAGGCATCAAAGTTGTTGGTTAATTAATCTCATGACCTTTTAAAAACAACTCGGAACAGTAAAATTAAAAAGAAGCTAATAAACTTCTTTTTGGAAGTTTTATTGTCACAATACATGTGTTTGCAAAGCTAGCATTTAGCTCTTATTTAATTAGTTACATAGATGCATGCTGTAGAAAGGAGTGGTACTTCAAGAACAGAACACAACCTTATAGTTAGTACCAACTGGACAAGTATATGTGCTTGTTGGATCATCTTTAGGGTAACTATAAGCATTCGGACATCTATCTTTGAAAAACTTGGAGTAATTTGTAGGTCCACAATTACCAGAATTACAACAATATTGATCGGTCTTGAAAATAGGACATGCCCCGTTACATCCACCAGGGACCCTCAGCGCAGTCGGACACTACCCCATAATATCCCCTACACATTTGATCACACTGTTGCACCCTCCGGACACCGAGCTGAATTCCATTGGAACATTAAACCCATCAATATTAGAAATATCAAAGAAATCAAGGTTGTTGTATTGGTTTAGTGCGTATTCAGCTAAGGTGTTTGGGGGTGAACCATAGCCTTGACATTGGAGAATCCCCCCACAGTCACCAGTCTGGCAACGCCCATGCCCAGCTGCGTCAAATTGGCAACCTGTCTGAGCCCATATACGGGTTGCTGTTGTGCCAGGGTTCACGTTAAGGAGCCAATTTTGGCCACGGTCAAGTCTTCTGCCTCCACTGGGGGAGGCAGCCGCCGAGACTGTGTAGGGACAATTGTTTATTGTTCGTGTTTTAAGCTATACCGAATTGGCAAAGAAAAGGAGAACTGAAGAGAACTTAATCCATCTTTCATTAGCCAACAAAAACTGAATATAACATACTTTTAGTTGACTGTTACAACCACTGTCAGTATGTCTTTTACATAATAACAGGTAATCCACACAAATCTAACAACTACATTACACTTTGGAGACACAAAGCCTCAAAATAAGCTGAATTTACCTAAACCAATTTTAACACAAAAGTTAACAAATTTGTCCTAAGCTATTACCTTCAGAACAGCACCATGCACACCATTATGTTTGCATCAAAAACATCTTCAAGCTTCAGTTCCAGCACACTGCATGTCCAGCACAGCATCAACCTTCAACACTCCTCCTTGATGCTTTTGCTGGAAACACCAAGTTTTAGCCTTAAGTCTTCAAACTTGGATTTGGACAAAGCTTTTGTCATAATGTCAGCAACTTGATCTTCTCCTCTACAGTGCACTAAGCTCACTTCACCACATTGCTCAGCTTCCCTTACTGCATGATACATTATCTTGATATGCTTAGTTCTACCGTGGAGTACAAGGTTCTTTGCCATGGCCACAGCTGACTGGTTATCACACAAGATTAATGTAGGGCCACCTTACACTTGTTGCAAATCATCCAGCATCTTCTTAAGCCATACAGTCTGATTCACTACGGCTGCAACAGAGACATATTCTGCTTCAGCAGTAGACTGTGCCACAGTCTCCTACTTCCTTGATAACCAGCAAATTGTACCTTGATTCAAGTAGAATACGTAACCAAAGGTACTCTTTGCATCATACAAGCCAATCACTATCAGTATACCTTAATAATTTCTGACTTTCGGATTTCCTAAACCAAATGCCTAACATGATGATTCCTTTCACATACCTCAACACTCATTTAGCAGCCTTAAAATACAGTTCACTTGGGTTGCTCATGAACCTGGAAAGGTAACTTGCAGTGAAAATAAGGCCAAGTCTGGTGGCTGTGTAATACAGCAAACATCCTACCAAACTCCTGTATTTTCCCTCATCCACCCTTTCTGCACCATCAGCTTTGCTCAGTTTCAAGTTGGGAACCAGTAGGGTATCCACTGGTTTACAATTCTCCATTTCAAACTTCATGAGAATCTCGGTTGCATACCTTTGTTGGCACACAAAAATCCCACCTATAGACTGACTTATTTCCATGCCCTGTAATAACTGCTTTATACTAGGATACTCATAGAAATATATCAAGTAAAATACATTTATATTAGCAAAAGTAAATGGGCCGAAAATTTTCTTTTAATACATATAATCATTCTTTATACAAAGTAAGGTATCATTTGTAAAAGTTATCAAAAACAGTGGACAGTGTAGCTATTGCTCCTCGCTTGCCGACGCCCATCCAACTGCGTCCTCACCTAGATTCTGCAAACACAAAGAAGAACAACGGGGTGAGCACAAAATAATGCTCAGTAAGTAAATCCTCTACTCGTCTATCCCCGTAACTCTTTCTCTTAATTCTTTCCTTACACTCTTCTTATCTCATTTATTTTCTCTTTCTGTTTCTCTTTCACATAGCTCTTTTCTATTAACTTTCTGTTGTATGTCACGACCTCATCTTATCGGAGGCACGGTTGGGTGGAGTTCACAAAGCACCACCCCACTCTTCGTGACTTCTACTCGTGTTCTCTCTTTATTCTTTCTCATGTTTGCTCATTCTTTCTCACTTGAATGTCATGGCCTCATCTTACCGGAGGCATAGCCGGGTGGAGTTCACAAAGCACCATCCCACTCTTTGTGACTGTCGGGTGGAGATCACAAAGCACCAACTCGCTCTTAGTAACTACCGAGTGGAGATCACAAAGCACCAACCCACTTTTAGTAACTACCGGGTGGAGATCACGAAGCACCAACCCGTTTTTAGTGTTTTTCTCATTCTCTCTACTCTTAGAGTAGTTCATTCACAAAGTTCTCTACTTTTTCTCAAGCCACTTCTCAATGCACAAT